ATTAATTTAATTCAAAGCCCCTTGTTTAGTATTTGCAAATTTTGCTCAAAGACCCTTTCAGTACTTCTATCAGTGTTATGACTATTTCATGGCCTCTGCTTCACCTTTCTGATTTATCAGACCAGAACTTTATCTCGGGGTATACTAATGTTTCAACTTGTCCAAATGAGTGGGTGGTTTTGCCCTTGTACTTTATACAACTAACATTTGTATTGTGTCATGGTGAAATATCACTGGTTTTTCACATTACTCACCTGTAGGAATGAGTTCCTACAGTATGCGCCAGAGATTGAGCAAGTCTGTATCCAGATCAATATGCTGTAACCTTCCAATATTCATAATCTGGATTTTAAATAGAATATTTTCAACAGTTTTACTTCTGCTGTTCCTGAACAACATTGCCAAGTTTTTAAAAATAACAACTGTCTTTGCTGGCATTCTTTTAATTTACCATGTAAGTTAGTCCAGAACTGAAAAAAATGAGGTTCAGAAACTGCTAAGTCAGAGGCAGACTTATATTGCTGTTTTATATCTGAAAGAATATATATATCTTTGAATAGCATAAGGGTTAACAAAGTTTGTTTTTCTGTTTTTGCCGCTGTTCAGAATATTTCACTTCACTTTCTGTCTCTGATTTTGAAAAACTGCTTGTTGTGGAGCCAAGGATTGGCGATAAAGCTCTAGTGCAGACACATTTTCCCGACCCCCATGATAACTCTTTCAGGAATGAACTTCCCTTCTGGGGGGTAGATTTCACTTCCTGTTGTCTCACCCCTGTTTGTAATGACGAATCACTTGTAAGTCAAATGTTTGTAACTTGGAGACAGCCTGTAATATGAAACCAGTGTGACTTGTATCTTGTTCATGATATGTGCACTAATTTGAGCCTTCATTCTGGTAAATATTTGGCAAATTTGTGTGCATGCATGTGGCCATGTGCTGGGAAGACCTTTGAAATACTTAATACAATGTGACAATGAAGTGTTTTAAACTGATAATAGAGACTTTTCAGTCATACTGTTCAGTGACACGGTTGTCCCCTCTCTCTATTGTTTTGGTTGGTAACAGAGGTTTTGAACAACACCATAAGAAAGGCAAAAGACATCAAAGGATGTTATAAGTTGAAGGCCTTTGCAAATAACTTAGTGTTTTTTAGAGGACCATCTGAACAAAGGTAGAGGTCTGGACCCTATCCTGAACGAATATGAAAGAGTATAAAGATTTAAAATTAATAAGGAGTAAATAGCAATATTGACTATGAATCTGACAAAAACTGAACAGAAAAATTATCTGAGAAATTGGGTTTTCAAGTTGTACAAAATGTTAAATATTTAGATATAAACATTCAAAGTTGTTTAAGGATAATTATAATCTTACGTGGAAAGAAGTTTGCAAAGATTTACATAGGTGGAAAGGTTTACAGCTATCTCTTTGGGTCAAATTTCAGCTATAAAGATGAACATACTACCAAAGTTGCTGTTTCTGTTTCAAGCCTTGCCAATTATACTGAATGACATTCCATTTAAACAATGGCAAAAAGATCCATCAGCATTTATTTGGCAAGAATAAAAACCCAATGATCAGATTCACAGCACTACAAGATGATATGAAAAGAGGAGGACCAGGCCTTCCTAGTCTAAAAACCTAGTATCATGCATGCTGTTCACTTGGTTGAAGAACTGGTTGTTCTTGAGAAGTGAACATTTACTACAACTAGAAGAAGAAGGTCCGAAAATTGGAATTCATGCCTATTTCTGGTATGATAAAATAAAGGTGACTCTCATTTTAATAACCACAATATAGGAGATTGTTGTTAAATGTGTGGAATAAGTATAAGAAAAGATATTAAAGCATAAAGTTGCTGTTCTGAAGTTCTGTTTAGAAGGGAAATTGTCTTGAAAGAGAAATGGTTGACTTACAAAAACATGTTGGTGTTGGATAAAGATCAGTATAAAAATGAGAGGAACTAGTCCAAAACCTTCCCAATACAATGGTTTCCTTACAGACAATGAACAGAATTATTTAAAATGGCTAAAAACTTATTTGGATTTGTTATTGATAAACCTGAACTTGAAACCATTTTGGACTCTGGAGATGATCATTTAATTGTTGAGCTGTATAAATTGCAGTTAGAATATGAAATGGAGGAGGAACAGGTGAAAGATTGCATGGTTAAGTGGGCATAAAATTTGGTGAAAAAATGTTCGTATATAGGTTTTGTTTTAATCTGTCTTAAAAAAAACCATTAAAAATATAGCTTACCTTAGACAGGACAGTCATATATTCAAAGGCCAAGGACAGTTTTCTATTTGACTATATGTCCTTTTGAATGACTGTCCTGTCCAAGTCCATAAAAAAGAGCAAGGGCCTTGAGCTGACCTATCAAAAGCACTTGAAAAGTGGTCAGGTTGTGTTATCACCATCTCTACTATGATGAGATCATTCCACTAATTATATTAGACTTGGAAATATACATTTTCATGTCATAAAAGTGAGTCAGTCAAGGACTGGTGGCAGCAGAACTTCTCCTGGGCTCACTGAGGATGGGGATACATAAGGGTGAATTTAGGTAAAACCCAGCCAACAAGGTCATATGGCAACCCATTGGCAGAAGAAAAAAGTCCACTCCCTTTGGGTCTTCTGCTATACTGAAACCACCCAAACATGACACACCAGCAAGCCCTGTTATCGGCTAGGAAGGGATGACGATGGGTACATATGAAAACAATCTTTCTTTGTTTCTTGCTCTGAGATTGGTGATTCCTTCTGGAGACAATAGGAGGCACAGCAACGCCCTCAGACTCAGGGTGGTTCCAGACAGCAGGTAAAGTCTGCTTCAACCCGGGTTTTAAAAAAACCGAGCCAGGGTGGACTGTAATCTGCCCACCGCCAAAGAAGCCCATGTTTCTGTAGGTGTTGTCTACATATTCTCTCAGTACAGGGAGACAGCAACCAACCTCCCAACCCCCCACCCCACCCCCTTTTAAAAATAAAAGAACTTACCTGGCCTCCATTAGCATAGTCCGGAGCTCTCCTGGCTCGAAGGAATTATGCACCAGGAGAAGGGGGCAGGAGCAATTTTCCTCCTTTCTCTTTCTCCTGGCACATTATTCCTTTTATTTTTAAAAGGGGGTTGGGGGTGGGGGAGGGGGTTACAGCCCCCTTTCATTTCCCAGGTCTGATTCAGCCAAGAAAATGCAAGATGGCTATATGGAAGGCCCCTTCAGAAGTCCCAGGACTTCTGATTGGCCAGTCCAGACAGCGGCTATAGTGGGTTTGCCCTGCGCCTTCCAAGAAGCATGTAACAAACCCATTAACAAATTAACTCACTACAAACCAGTGTTTTCTTGCTTTGTGGCAAATGAATTCACTTTTAAAGGGCTGTCTGGAAGCACTCAGGCAATTGCCCTGAAACCAGCCAAGCCTAATCCTATCTATCTAACAGAGGATTTTTGCAAATGAAGGAGTTACAGTGTTCCCGCACTTTTCGCGAGTGTTCCGTTCCAGGACCACCCCTGATAAGTAAAAATCCATGAAGTAGGGACACTCCGGCCACTTGAGTGGGCGGAATGTTCCTATTTTGTGGCAGTCTCCTTCTCTCCATCTTTGCTGCTCCCCACCTTGGAGGTCTCTTACTCGCCAGGCTGGGTGCTCAAGCCTGGCTCACAGCCTGGCGAGGAAGATGCAGGGAGCAGCAGAATGACAAGGAAGAGGATGCCATCACCGAGGCCCTCTTCGGCGGCGGCGGCCTCCTCCTCACCACCTCTGCTGCTTCCCACCTTGGAGGTCCCTTCCTCACGGGCCCAGTCTGGCAAGGAAGGAATGGGGAGCAGCTATACAGTTTTCCCTCACTGCTCCCCATGAAACAGCAAGTCTGCAATAAGCAAACTGCAAAGTAGCGAGGGACACTATGTAGCCAACCCTGAGCAGTAGATACAGAGTAAAATATCTTTTAAAAACATGACTTTGCACATTTTTGTTTTCTTAAGAAGCCCAGAGAAGTTTACCTTCCAACAATATATTTTTTTGTAACCTGTAGATTTTTCAATAATACAAACACTCCTGCTGGAATCAAGGAAGGTTGTTTATTATCAGGATCATAGCAAGCATTACACTATTCATTATTTTACATTCCATTCAACATCTTTAAAAGATGTGTAGTATACAATTATATTTCTCTGATGGACTTAGGAACATTTGATTTAGTAGATAAATGCTCGAGTGTGAAGAGACCTCTAATAATCAACTTTATTTGGTCCATGGGACTGCAGTTAATTTTTAAAATATATATAAAAAGTGGCAATTCTTGGCCATTTTCATATAATATACCCATTGAACTGTGCAGAAACAGCAGTCAACAAACCTTTGCTCTATTTATGCAATGCCCATGTTCATGGTTCATTTCATTGTTTGATTTACAGCTTTTATCTTATTTTTACTCCCTGGAGAGCATAGGTTAACAATTGATATATTCACTTAGACAATATTGATTGTGAAGACTTCCTGTGAAATGACTAAGAATGGGCAATGTAAAGATGAGACATCAGTTAATGAACTATTTTCATTTCCTTCGCACCTAAAAAAAATTGGATTCCCCTTTTCTTTCCAGGGTCTTGCAATATCTGGAAGACTATCCCATTTAATATAGCATGAGCTTTTTATTTCTCTCTATTCATTGGATGAAGTGGCCTATAGTCCATGTTAGTTCATGCAATAATAAAAGTGTTAGGTGCCAGAGAAATCTGTATTGCTATTCTCCCCCCCCCCCTCTACATAGTTGATTAAACAACCACATTGCCAAAAATAATCCTCCATCACTGGGAAAGGTATATAATATTCCAATAATCTTTTCCAAATGGTTGACTGTCTAGTCTCTGATGGTAGAATATTAACAGAGATTGCTGGTCGTCATGGCAAATTGAGAGGTTGGTCTCAACGTAATCTCATTGGGGCGGGGGCAGCAGGACATAGATGCAGAAAAATGAGATAATGACAGTGAAGCCTTATAAATAAACAGAGCCCTTTTTTCTGCCAGGCTGAAACCTCTACTTAGGGAAGCCATCCCAAAGCAGGAGCCAAAACACAAGTGGATTGTGTTGAAAGATAGCAAGGAGCTCTTCTTTAAATCACCAAAAGGATCCCAGGAAAACTTGCCCTTCTTCTTTAGTGGAGTAGACAATATTGTTGTGGAAACATGTGTTGCGGAGGATGTGCAAAATGCCTTGGATTTACACTCATTCCTCTGACTGTGCTCTGTACTATTGCCAATATTTTGCTGTTTTTCCCGGGAGGAACAGTTCAAGAAACCGATGGTATTTCTGATGAAGTTTTGTATTCTGGAGGAATCCTGGGTTCTGGTGTTCTGGTAAGTATATGAAGTATTTATCATTTTCATTACTGGCTCACATCTATAAAGTTTGCTGAAGTTTGGCATATTATGGCCTGGGTTGGAAATTATATTTACAATAATTATTACTTGTGCATTCTTTTTATCTCCTGCCTTCTCATTGGGAGAAAAAAACCATTAAACGTGTGATACGAAAAACAAAAGTTAAATGATGAACTGGAAATTCAAAAGTAATATGTTGAAAAAGAATTAAATTTCCTATTTAACACATGTCAAATGTGTTCAAAACACTATACAGTTCTAATATTGGGTTGTTTTTGAAGGATGGATCAGTCTGCCATTTTATTACCCCAACTTCATACAGTAACAAATACTGTGTTGTTGAAGGCTTTCATGTCTGGAATCACTGGGTTTCTGTGAGTTTTCTGGGCTGTATGGCCATGTTCCAGAAGCATTCTCTCCTGATGCTTTGCCCCCATCTATAGCAGGCATCCTCAGTATTTCTATGTAAAAGCTAGTACTTCTATGAAAGACATAGAATTTATGGTCAACCATATGGTCAACCCTAAATTTTTATATGAAGTCAAATATTAGCCTTTTAATCCTGGAAGTGATTCCTAACACTTTCAGTGGTGTCTGTTTTTAAGTTAATATGATTTGAAATGCATCACTGGACCAAAATCATCTTGCTGTTTACTGTCAGGTAGACAAACTGTAATATTGGTAAGAGCGACAGTATTTCAGCATCCAAATTAATTCAATTAAATTGAGAACTGTCACACACTAAAATACTTTCATTGTTATCATCAGATGGTGTTTCCAATTTTGGTCTTTGCGGGTCTTAAGAATAATGATTGCTGTGGATGCTGTGGTAATGAAGGCTGTGGAAAGAGATTTGCAGTAAGTATAAAAGTCTAACTTCTAAATAAAATGGAAGCATATACATAATGTTAGTCTATTTATTTATCAATTCTTTACACTAATACTAACTTACAAACAAACAAGAAAGTATTAGAAAGTAATATACATTGAGAAAGTAAAGAATCGGAAAGAAAGAAAGAAAGAAAGAAAGAAAGAAAGAAAGAAAGAAAGAAAGAAAGAGGAAAGAGACATTAACTAATACACAGTAGAGCTTGGATGCCATCCCCCATTCTCACTGTAATGAATACAAATACATAGATTATTAATAATAACAATGTATCACCCGCCTCTCCTTTATTAATAATAATAATAATCACAGATTGCATTGTTACATTTCTTATTTCTCAAGTTCTTAAAGCACTTCCAGTCTTTCAAGAAATCTGTAGTTGGCTTATCCCAGCCATGGAAAAACTTCGGCCCCCCAATGTTTTAGACTTCAACTCCCACAAATTCCTAACAGCCTACCAGCTTATAAAATGATCCTAACTTGGGTATATACTTGGCATATCTTTCCATTTGAAGAACTTGTTTAGTTCCATCATAGTTGGCTGACAAGGTCGTCGTAATTTTCTGTTTTCTCAACTAGTCTCCATTTTGATCAGTGACTCAGACATATGAAATCGTCAATGATTTTGATGTCTTAAAAATTCTGCTTGTCAGCACAAAAACATATTTCTCGCATTTACCACCTGCCTTTTCTCTAAGGGCCTTTCCACACAGCCATATAACCTCTTATATCAAGTCAGATAATCCACAATATCTGCTTTGAACTGGATTATGAGTCCACACTGCTATATAATCCAGTTCAAAGTGGATTTTATACAGCTGTGTGGAAGGGGCCTCAACTAGTATTTCTCAAACTGTGCTCCACCAGATGTTTTGGACTTCAGCTCCCAGAACTCCCAGCTAGTTTACCAGCTGTTAGGAATTGTGGGAGCTGAAGTCCAAAACACTTGGGGGAACACAGTTTGACAAAATCTGTTCTAAGCAGTTCAAATTATTTATCTACTTTGTCAAGTAGACTGAGCTGAAAAATAGGGAGCAGCCCAAGGTCATTCAGTACATTTCATAGCGGAGGAGATATTTGGATCAGGAGCTTCCAAAGTCCCAGTCAAACATTTCAGTTATTGCATCATGCTTATAATTGAATAGACTACATTTGATCTTTTTAGGGCAAGGGCATATTAATCAATCAAAAGCATTTTAGACTTTACGTCTGTGGAAAATTGATCAGCTTCGGTTTATATCCAAGCAAAGTAATTAATAAGTTGTGTAGCCCCGTTTTTTCCCAATTCCTTGAACTGTTAAGTCCTGGTTGGAGTTAGACTCCACTCCATATGTCACAAACAGATATGCTTCTCTATCTGATACAAAACAATTGACACCTCAATGCTATATTTGTAAATATGTATGTATGTGTGTGTGTGTGTGTGTGTGTGTGTGTGTGTGTGTGTGTGTATATATATATATATATATATATATATATATATATATATATAATATATCAAACATCACAACAGAATAGCAACAAAACCGCTATAAACTAGGGCAATAGATTTGCAAGTAATCGCAGAATATCTCAATATAATGGCCAAAAGAGGTGGCCTGGATCAGAGCAAGAGCTCTACAGATGCCATGGACTATTAGAAAGACAAAAAAAAAATTGGTCACAGAGCAAATGAACCTGGAATTCCCCTTGAAGCCAAGATGAGACTGTCATAATTTGAACATATCATGAGGAGACATGGCTCACTAGAAAAGTAAATGGTGTTTGGTAATGCAGACAGCAGTAAGAAAGGAAGAAGACTGCATTCCGGTTTTGAGTCTGCAAAACTTGAGTAGAGATGTTGCGAGAGTGACTTGAAGGTCTCTCATTCATAGGGTCGCAGTTAAGTCAAAACTGACTTTTTTTCAGCACCCTAAAGGTCCCTCTCAAAATCACACTGCTGAAATATGATGGTAACACTGGAATAAAGTGACAACCAAGTTGCTTCCTTTCACTGGCCTTCTAGTGGTTTACTACACATTTATATTGCTCATCGGAGAAATCTTTTAAAGCTAACAAATGCCTTATATATGTTGTCACTGTTATTGACAGCATAATTTCCTGCTAAATCTTGATAGCATAGGATGTGCAGCCTATAGTGGGAGACAATGCATCAAAGTTGATAATTCCTGGTGTAGACCAAAATTAATTCATTTTCACTCCTCCTTTGTTCCATGAATACTTACATGCTCTGAAGGCAACAAATTCTATCTGGTCTTAGACACTAAGCAGGAAAGGCTCTGGTTAGTACTTGGAGACTTCCAACAAATACCAGGCGCCACATGCTATATTTCAGAGGGAAGAATTAGCAGAAACATCTCTGAGTATTCCTTGTCTAAGAAAACCCTATGAAATTAATGGGGCTTCCATACATCTAGAAGGCACATGCAGTTCCACAAAGCTTCTTCCCAGGTAAATTTGTACAGAATTGCAGCTTTTATTCTTTATGTGGCTTGTAATTTACATCTTCAAGAGGCTTACAACAATATCAGGAATAATGGCATACAGTGAAATAAAACTGAGAATATGTGGGAAGGAAAGGATGAATACAAAAGAAAAACAATAGATTTTTTTTTCATGTCAGGAACAACTTGAGAAACTTCTGGTGTGAGAGAATTGGCCATCTGCAAGGATGTTGCCCAGGGGATGCCCTGGTGTTTTTATGTTTTACCATCCTTGCTTCTCTCATGTTCCCGCATAGGGAGCTGGAGCAAACAGAGAGCTCATCTGCCCTCTCCCCAGATTCGAACCTCTGACCTGTCGGTCTTCAGTCCTGTTGGCACAAGGGTTTAACCCATTGTGCCACCGGGGGCTCCTAAACAATAGATATATAACAACTTATTTGTATAATCTGAAGTATTTGGAACTCCAGTTTAATTTTACCCTTCCAGTTATATATCATCAAACAATTGATATGTAACAACTTATTTGTGTAATCTGAAGATATATAAGGGCAAAATTAAACTGGAGTTCCAAAGACTTAGAATTTAAGTTTAAAAAAAGATTTTAACTGAGATTTGAAAACCTTAATTGAAGAAGCAATCCACAACCGTTCTAAGAACAGAAAGTAGCAAGGAAGGAAAATAAGAGTAAAATATAATGGGTTGGGTAAGGAAGGTGGACTTCAAGGAGTGAAGATCCAACTAAGTCAGTAATAAGGGATTTAAACTGAAAGATAACAGTGAACTGAATTATGCAGAATTTTAAAAAATAGAACAAGACACTAATATTGGATCAAAAAGATGTCGGAAACAAATCACTGAAGGGACATCAAAAGTGGAATAACAATCAAATTCCCAATGATGTTAGCAGTATGATGTTGGATAGACTATAGGCAATTCCAGAGACTATGCAAGAATCTAAAGAAGCAAATTTAACACGAACGGAAGATTTATAGATTATATCTTAGTGTAATGGCTATGAAAACCCACTGGGCAATTCAAACTCACTCCACCTCAAAGGAAGTCAAGGGCAAACCTGCTCTTTAAAAAAAAATCTCTTGAACAATGAGCAAGGCTTACTCAACAAGAAACAGGCGACAAACCAATTCCCTCTGTTTCCTCCCATTTCTGCCTTGTTTGGCAAGGCATTGTTCCACCACAGATTCTGTCCCCTCAAATAATTGGTCCTCCTATATATTCAGGACCTGCCTATCTTCGTGATTGCCTCTTCCCCTATGAACCTGCGCAATCTCTTAAGATCTTCTGGGGAGGCTCTTTTCTCACTCCCACCTCCATCACAGACATGGCTGGTGTGGACGAAGGAGAGGGCCTTCTCGGTGGTGGCCCCCCGGCTCTGGAATTCTCTCCCCAGGGAGATTAGGCTAGCACCCAACTTGTCCATCTTATGTGCTTGGACTTTATCAATCAGTCCTTTCCTCACAACTATTTTCCTCGCCCCCCCCCCTCCCCCAAGCCCAGAACTATTTTGCTATTTCAGAGTACTAATTGTTGTCATGGTTGTTTTTATATTGTGTTATGCTCTTGTTTGTTCGTTTTTGTTTTATTTTGCTTTATGTTGCTGTTTTTTTTAATGTGTTATTTTAACTATGTTGATCAGGCTTGTAAGCCACCCCATTTAAGCCGCTGCGAGTTCCTTTGAGGAGATGGAGGCGGGGTACAAAATAAAGTTGTTGTTGTTGTTGTTGTTATTATTATTATTATTATTATTATTATTATTATTATTATGAAACTGCAGCTCCTAGAATCCTCCAGACAACATAGTGAGGTGTCGTGTTGGCTGAGCAAATCTAGAAATTGTTATCCCAACAGTAGCCCTTGCAAACTGTATTATTACACAAACCCTATTATTGTATTATTGCAGAAATTTATGATTTGCAGTGGTCCACAATTATTTTATCTTCTATATGCAAAATGGGCATCCCTACTCTTGCCCTAAATTATACTGCTAGAAATTGAATAGCTTTTTTGGGAGGGAAAGAACAGAGAAAGTACTCAGAAAATTACACAGAACAAAAGACTTTGTTCAGTATTCCTTAACTGAACATAATGTCTTTTGCATCACATTACAGGTTTAAGTAAAAGAAATGCCACACTATAGTCCCTCAAGTCTTATGGTTTCCTGCTTCTGGTCTAGAATAGTAGTGAAGATTCAGACCACTGAAGCCCAACCAGTACTAAATAATTAACAATCAGTGCCTTGGGTATGAAAACTTAACATCTGATCTGCCAGGTCCTGGGCGAGTTAGGAGAATTCAATGGATATGATGACCTCCAAACTCTTTATGTGTTTGATGGATCATAGGAAACTGATATGCTATAAACAAGTCAGCTGGGCAGTTTTAAAATCTTAGATGGACTTTGATTTTTGTTCTTCCTTTCATTTCCAACAGATGTTTACATCTGTAATATTTGCAGCATTGGGCGTTGTGGGTGCTGGATACTGTTTTATTATATCTGCTGTTGCTCTGAACCGAGGACCAAAATGTCTCATTACCAACCCAACCAATAGCTCCAAGACGTGGAGTTATCCATTTGTAGAAGGGTAAGAGATACTCTAAAACTGTCATAATTGTTATAAAATTGAGGAATGAGTATAATATCTGACTCTCTCTCTCTCTCTCTCTCCACTGACATTAAGTCTAATTATGTTTGACTTTGGGAGGTGGTGCTGGTCTCCATTTCTAAGGTGAAGAGCCAGTGCTGTCCATAGACACTTCCAAGGTCATGGGACCAGCATGACTACATGTAGTGCTGTTACCTTCCCGCAGAAGTGGTACCTCACATTTGCATGTTTTCAAACTGCTAAGTTGGCAAAAGCTGGAGCCAACAGCAGGAGCTCATCCTGCTCCCCAAATTCGAACCACCAACCTTATGGTCAGCAAGTTCAGCAGCTCAGTGGTTTAACCCACTGCACCACCAGGGACCCTATCGATTTATCTAGATATAAAGTACATATCAATAGTAGTATCAATGTGGTACATTAACCTTTTTATATGAATCCATATTTTAATTGTTTTCAACAATGCATTATCTTTAATTACTAATAATATTGAGGCATTTTCTCCGAATATTGCATCCATTGCCTTTCTCTCTGAATTCAAGCTTTCTTAAACAATTCTTTTTTAAATACTTTGAGAGCCAGATCTCATGAACTCATAAACCACCCAGCTTCCCCCCATTGTGTATGCTGGATTCTCTTCAATTTTGCCATGAAGCTTGCTGGTTCCCATCTACTTCCAACAGGGCTCCATGGCAAAACTGAAGAGGAACCAGCATACACTGCTGTGGCAGCAACACGGGAGGCTTCCTGTGTTGCATTAGAATCAACAGGGGGAAAGCAGGTGGCAGATATTTCCCCCCGTGGAATGGGGTAAGGGGGAAGCTGGGTGATATAGGGCATGGGGCAATGGTTTCATCAAGCCCCCCACCAGGCATCACCAGATTCACCATGATCCGTGGCAATTCTGGCGGCAAATGTGATGAGGTCTATAGTCACATGCATACAATAGAATGCATCAACAGGACAGACCTTTATTTTCTTTTTCCTTTTATTAAGCATACTGTAAAGTTCATCCATCTTTTCCTTTTTTTTATACAGGAACTACCTCAGTAACCATGACTTGTGGAAATCTTGTGAGGCTCCCGAATCCCTTGTGCCCTGGAATTTGACCCTTTTTTCTCTGTTGCTGATCATGAGTGGAGCTCAGATGGTACTCTGTGCAATTCAAGCTGTCAATGGACTCCTGGGAACAATTTGTGGCGACTGCACATGTTGTGGATGCTGTGGGGTAAGACTATTTGTGTAGGCTTACTGTTAGGCCGAAAGGATACCTGGCTGGAGCACTAGCTGCTGGAGAGCAGCATTGGCAACTCCTCCATCTAAGTTATTCCTTCTGAACTATCACTCCCGCATTTGCAGGAATTTCATTTTTTAAGGCCTGTTCTGCAGCCTAAACTAGCCTGTGGCCTTCAGGTGTGTTGAGGAACACCAACCAGCCCATGTGAAACTGAAATTTTAATAGTTAAATCACAATTCCAGGTAACTTCTGTACAAAGAATGGAAAGAAAAGCCTTTGCTTCAGCAAGCAAAATTATTGTTGCCATTTTACTGATGATTGGCTTACCATGCTTCCACTTTTTAATTGGGAGCACAATGAGAACTGGTTAACAGGTTTTAGATTTAAGTGTTAAAGTGGACCATAAAATGAAAACTTGTTTGATTACCATCACCTCTGAGTGTGTATGTATGTATGTATGTGTATATATATATATATATATATATATATATATATATATATATATATATGCCCCAAAAAGTTTGTAAAAGCTCCAGAACTTGTAGTGTTTAGTATTCTGGACTGTCATTTCCAAAATGTATTGGATATTTTTTTGTTATGTTATGTTGAGTAGCCATGCTGGTGGAGAGATTCTGGAAATTTGCATCTGAAACAGTAAAGTTTTTAAGATCTAGCAGAACTATCAGTTTTTAAAGACTATTGCTGATGTTAATTTGTCTCTTTTTCTTTTTCATTTTAGGGAAATGGCGCAGTGTAAAGCATATCTGGAATCAGCAGTGATCATGCCCTGAAAATATTTCAAATACTTTTCTAGGCATTTCTCTTGCAATGATGGGCTGCATGCCACTGAGCAAGTCAAGAATGGGGGATATTTATAATGAGCCCAGATTCCCTTTCCCTTCTGTTGATTGTTTACATTTCCCAAGGACTTCTGCAGTTGTTTTGGGGAACAAGATATTTATTTTTGCAATAGGTTCTTTTTCAAGCCAGATTTTTAGAGCTAAACACCTATGCTCTGTTTTCTCTCCAAGTTACCATTGTAATTTGAGCCCAAGAGAAGACAATTCAGGAGTGCCAGGAATGAGAAGAAAGCAATGAATTTAGGAAGAGGAACATTCCTATGTGCTCGTTTCTGAAAAAACAACAACAACAACAACTAATGCCCCCTCCAAAATAGCAGCTTGTTCAGTTCCAGCTAGATACCTTGTTCCTTCCAGGTTTTTTGTGGGGGGAGCCTTGTTTTACTGTAGGCTAAACAAGAAAAAAGTTACTTTTGCAGACTTTAACTCTCAGAACCCAGTGGACATAGTGACTGGGGGGAGGGGGCAGCTTCTTGTAGCTACAGTTCAAAAGGTAACATTTCCAACCTCCAATTGTTTATAAGCTTTAAAATGATATTGCAATGGTGGTTGTCATGTCTGATCATACATATAAAAAGGTTGGGGGCATTTTACTTCAAGCTAACACCCTCCAGATGTCTTGTACTGGAGCTCCCATCATCCAAACAACTGGCTGTGGATCATAACAATGGTAATCAAACATATCTGGAGGACCTCTGGCTTGTGGGATGCTGCTTTAGGATGTGAATATATCCACCCTCAAATGCTGTAAATATTACCAAAACTGGGGCATGGTTGTAAAGTGGTCATTCCTGTGGTCCTGGAATTGCATTTGATTTACAGGCTGGACTTGGAGAAGCCCCTTAAAACTATCCAACCCCTCTTTTCATACACAGAAAGACAGAGAAGATGTGTGCACTTTTAACAAGAAACTTCTTGTAGTTTGAAAGCTACTAGGCACTTTTTCCAGTCAGCAGAGAGATAAGAAGCCCCTGCTTCTCAGTGTTTGGACACATTTTCTTTCTTTTTTTTTTATTGCCACTCCTAGAATTTACCAGTCAACATAGCCACTGGGTTCCAAGAGCTATAGTCCAAAAAAATAACATTTCCAACCTCTGACATTATTGTTCCTTCCATATTGAATCTCAATTAAATGCCTGGAATTACTTAGCACCCCTAAGTATTCCAAGTTTGTTTCTGATTTTGCTCTCGACATGAAAATCTTCAATTCTATGTTTTTGTACCTTTCAAGATACAGGACCAAAGTCAAGAAAGACAACACCAGTTAAACCTTAGAGGACACATATTTGCATGGCATCTGCCAATGTACCACCCACTGTCTTTTTGTTATTATCCTTGATTTATTGTAGCTTCTAGAATTACAAGTCCACATATCTGTGCTCCTTTATCCAAAGATTTGTTTGTATATATTCTAATATAAAGAGCATTGTGCTCCACGGTAGAAAAAAAAATCAGAAAATCATTGAAATGTTTTATTTTGTATTTTTTATAAACTTACTGTGTGCTATAAAGTATATAAGGGTTGTCAAAGGCTTTCATGGCTGGAATCACTGGGTTGTTGCAGGTTTTTTCAGGATATATGACCATGTTCTAGAGACATTCTCTCCTAATGTTTCACCTGCATCTATGGCAAGCATCCTCAGAGGTTGTGGGACCTCACAACTTCTGAGGATGCTTGCGATAGATGTAGGCAAAACGTCAGGAGATAATGCCTCTAGAGCATGGCCATATGGCCCGAAAAAACCTACAACAACCTATATAAGGGTTCTCTTTCACTAACAGAGTTCTAGGGCAGGATCGTATTGATTATGCCTTGAATAATTTGGCAGCATCCCTGCTCATGTAAGACTGAGGATGTTATCGCACACAGTTGGTAGCAAGGGTTTGGAGTTCCATAGCCATTAATGGAAGTGCTCACCACTGCATGACACTTCTGTGAAGTTGCTCGAAACCAGCATTCAATGAAAGAGTATTCCCATTTTTAGAAAGTTGAAAGTGCTTTGAATCAAAGTTCAAAGTGTTTCCAGGTGGTGAGATAATTCAAAAGTGCTTCTGCAGTGAGTTTGAAGGTAGTGAGGCATTAATGTGGATGTGTTGTTGAACTACTTCAGTTCCTCATGGCCAAAGTGCTAATCCGCTTGGTGAGCAGACTGAGGACGCTTCTACACAGCCATAGAACTCCAAACATCATGGGAAAAAATCCACAATATCTGCTTTGAACTGGGTAATCTGAGTCCACACTGCCATATAGAATCATAGAATTGGAAGAGACCTCGTGGGCGATCCAGTCCAAGCCCCTGCCTAGAAACACAAAAATCACATTCAAATCACCCTTGGCAAATGGCCATCCAGCCTCTGTTTAAAAGCCTCCAAAGAAGGAGCCTCCACCACACTACAGGGCAGAGAGTTCCACATACATGGCCATTATGTCTCCTCTCAGCCTTCTCTTCTGCAGGCAAACATGCCCAGCTCTTTAAACTGCTCCTCTTAGGGCTTGTTCTCCAGACCCTTCATCGTTTTAGTTGCCTTTCTCTGGACACATTCCAGCTTGTCAACATCTCCCTCAAATTATAATCCAGTTCAATGTGGATTTTATTCAGCTGTGTGGAAGAGGCTTAAGGGGACCTCTGCCAGCAAAGCCTTAGTTTCCCTCTTTTGTCCTATTCACTTCCTTTAAAAATATGCATGGAACTGCACAGTTTCATGGTTAATTTTAGGCACAGATAGGGATTTCCCTTCTTGATTAAATCTTTCTGTACTTTTGGCTAGTTTTCCTTTGTTGTTTTGCAAACATTTCTGCAGTTTACAAGCCATCCACTACAGGTTTGTCAATGAAAAGTAGATCTCCCCCTTACAGAATACACAACATGGGAAATACTTGTAATTGCAAAATCCATCTTTACATTTTTATTAATATTTAAAGTATTTAATGAGACTGTTTGTGAACTTGCAAAGTAATTAATTGTGATGCTCCAGTCTTACAAGATTTTGAACTCACATAGTTCTTCTGAGTGGAAAACTTAAAGGGAGCATGGACAAAAGGAGGCAATGCACATTGCAAAAGTGACATTCAGACAGCTGCAATAACCTAAAAGCGCTTACAGGCTTCTTCAAGCACTTGAGGAACAAATCGTAATAATAAGACTGGCTAACCTGTTGTGCTCCAGCTCCAAACTAGATAGGTTTGCAATGCCAGATAGATTTGCAATGCCAGTTGATGCTCTCAGGATGTTTTGTAAGAAGGTCCTGAGAGCAACAACAGCTGATGTCACCACTCCCATAGTGTCCTGGCTTCAGGAATCCCTAACACAACTGAAACCAAGCATTCTCATGAAGGTGTATTTGGAAATAAATTGTATTAACTTCAGTGGGCCCTTTGTCCTAATACATGTAAATGCAAATATTCAAGGAAATATCACCCCTTGTCTTCATGGAGATCTAATATCACCACAATGCCCCCCTCCCAAGCTAATATCCCCATGTACAATGCCCCCCTTCTCAGCTGACTGCCTTCACTTTCTTTGAGCATAAATACTCAGCCACAAAATTTCCAACTTGACTACATTGGTAGAGTTTTATGCTCAAAGAGAGTCCTGGAAATTCCACAACTCAATACCTAGAGGTTGGGCTAATCATTCTTGAACTATATTCATTCTTTCTAGTCTGCAAGTGTAACTCGTTTAAACTCTTTATTGTGACTACAAATCTCTTCCGACTTATGGTGACCGCAAGGCAATCCTATTACAGGGTTTTCTTGGCGAGATTTGTTCAGAGGGGGGTTGCTGTTGCCTTCCTCAGAGCCCAAGAATGGGTTTCCCAGTACATTTTCATGACCAAGTAGGAGTTCAGACCCTGGTCTCCAGAGTCATAGGCCAATGTTCAAACCACTGTGCCACGTTGGCTCCTTCCAAGCTCTACTCCCTTCGGGGAGAGAGGGTGGGTAATGAATAAAGTAGTTATTATTATTATTACTCATATATAAATGTTTACTAAACTGGAAAGAGGTTGCATTTTAATTGCTGCAGCTGCTGCAGTATTTCTAACATGGAAAGCCATGCTATACGCTTCAGACTTAGGGTGACCTTAAGTCTAAAGTTTAGGGCGGAGGCTGTGTAAATGACCTTGGAGGTCTGCATCAGGCCCACAGACCTTTGTTTGGTGGCCCCTGTCATTGATAATTGGCTAAACGTTGGTAAAGTTTAACACAGTAGTATTGATCTCAGTTAGTGTGGACCGATAAACATTCCAGGACATTTAGATAACCAAAAGTTCAGTGACACCAGCTGATAATGTTACCATGACAAGGTCTCCAGAAAGTCTCTGTACTTTTAGGCGAATGTCACACGCATGCACTACATTTAGTTTTATCTCCATTAATGATCATCGTATCTTTTAAAGATAAGTAGGAATTATATTTTGATGAAGTCTTGATAATTCTCCGTTAGAGACCTTAGACCTCATGAATAGAAACATTTCCTCCATAATGGCAGGAGTCCAATGGAAAAAGAAGAAATGCTTAGGACTCATGGGGTGTCATAGGAGCCCCTAGTGGTGCAATGGGTTAAATCCTTGTGCTAGCAGGACTGAAAACTGACAGGTCAGGGATTTGAATCCGGAGAGAGCACGGATGAGCTCCCTCTGTCAGCACCAGCTCCCCATGCAGGTACATGAGAGAAGCCTCCCACAATAAAGGTAAACGATCAAAACATCCAGGCACCCCCTGGGCAACATCCTTGCAGATGGCCAATTGTATCACACCAGAAGCAGCTTGCAGTTTCTCAAGTCTCTCCTGCCACAAAAAAATGGGGTGTCATGCATCTGGAACGAGGATGAATTTCTTTATTGACAGATTCCCCCTTTTTTGCAAGTATTTAAACCTCACCCCATGGGTAGCATTGATGCAGTTTAATAGTATTTTAACTGCCATGGCTCTCCAGAGCTTATTAGTAATTTCTTTAAGTCCTCAGCATTAACTTGCTAACTGTTGTCAAGTCTACTTTGACTTATGGCAATCCTATGAATGAGAAATCTACAAGTCAACCTATTCTCAACAGCCCTGTTCAGATACTAGAGGTTGATCATTAGATTTAGACTGATTAAATTGAAGGGAGTTACAGGCCAAAAACAGAGAGAGGGAGGCCTACAGTTACCCATTCCTGTTCTAAAAACATGGATGGGTAACACAAAGGTATAAACACTTAATGCTGAGAATGTTTTAGTGGAGAACTCAATAAAAGTAAGTCTCCAATTAGCTAAAAGAATTAAGGATGAAGAGATTAAAGAAAAGAATAATTGTAAACATGTAATTTTGAAAAAAAAAATCAATAAAGTCAATAAGTAAGTGCATTTTTAAAGAGGAAGTGTTGAATTTCAAAGCATTTACATAGTTCTTTGTAGAGAAGAGGGTAAAAAAGAGCATTTTAGATTTCTTTCCTGCAGGCATCAGCCAACTTGGGCCCTCCAGGTGTTTTGGACTCCAACTCCCGCCATTCCTAACAGCCTCAAGTCCCTTCCTCCCCCCCCCCCCCCCCCGCCTTTAATCACAGAGGAAAGGGCCTGAGGCTGTTAGGAATGGTGGGAGTTGAGGTCCAAAACACCTGGAGGGCCCAAGTTGGCCCATGCCTGCTTTAATGTCACCAGTAAGACAATGACTGAGGCAATGAAGTCCCAGTTATTTCTGGGATTCTAAGATTGTTTGAAACTAACCACTTGGCGAGAATGGGATTCCAAAAGCATTCAGATGTCAGAATTTAGCTTCCATTTTTTCTAGGAGCACTTTTTCTTTGTTTAGAATACCAAAGCTTGTGATGCAGGCTACACACACACACACACACACACACACACACACACACACACGAACATTCAAACTTTACTGGATCAAACCAGTGTTTTATTTAATATGGTCTTTGTAGGTAGGCAGTCCTATCCCTGACTCCATTTTTTACGTAGTCATGTCCTGCCACAAATCAACACTGATATGATTAAAATGTTGTTTTGTGCTCAAATCATTATGAATTACACTAACTCTAGCATTATCCAGTGCCTTAGACCACAGTTCTCATCATCTATTTGCACAGTTATCATCTATTAATCACATGACCCGAGTTAATGGGGACTATTGTTCATCATGGAATGGCTGGTCTGGACTACTAAAATGATGTGCATAGAAAAGTTTCCAAAATCTACCATGTCACTTGAGGGATTCTGGGAATTATTATCAACTTGTACAGAAGACTAAAGATTGGTTTAAAAAGGCTATTTCTTATAAAATAAGTTTTCTCAGACTGATTGATAACTGGCAAATAGGGAAAACATGGAGGCAGTAACAAACTTTGCCTTTCTAGGAGCGAAGATTACTGCAGATGCAGACTGCAGCCAGGAAATCAGAAGATGTTTATTTCTTGGAAGGGGAGGAATGACCAATCTCATAAAATAGTGAAGAGTAGAGACATCATACTGGCAACGAAGGTCCGCAAAGTTAAAACAGTGGCATTCCCTATAGTAACCTATGGATGCAAGAGCTGGACCATAAGGAAGGCTGACGAAGCAAGATAAGACGCTTTTGAACTGTGGTGTTGGAGGAAAATTCTGAGAATGCCTTGGACTGCAAGGAGATCAAACCAGTCCATACTCCAGGAAATAATGTCTGGCTGCTCACTGGAGGGAAGGATATTAGAGGAAAATATTAAATACTTTGGCCACATCATGAGAAGACAGGAAAGCTTGGAGTAGAGAATGACGCTGGGGAAAATGGAAGGAAAAAGGAAGAGGCGCCAACCAAGGGCAAGATGGATGAATGGTATCCTTGAAACGACTAGCTTAACCTTGAAGGAGCTGGGATTGTCAATGGCCGATAAGAACTCTGGCATGGGCTGGTCCATGAGTTCACGAAGAGTCAAAAAAGACTGAATGAATAAACAACAAACAACAACACGTATTCTCAAAGAAAGGGTACAAATGATGTCTTATCCATTCTAGGGTGTTTACTTTTGGAACATCTATTCTGAGATTGCTGGCAAAGTATGGAATAAAAGATGTCTCTGTTTGTTGTCTAAAAGCCATTTTCTTGTTTCTCGGTTATCTAATATCAAATTTGCAAGTTCAAGTCTCAATTAATTACCCTTAGTCAGAGAATACTGTCATGTGCTGAAATACAGCATCTGCTAATAAATGTAACAATTGAGCCAATCTTATTATACACTGGATTTCTATCCAGTGTATAATAAGATGTCAGATATGAGTGTATAGAACCTTTGGCAGAAACAGCTGCAAAGAAAGGAATGTACTGCCCTCTTGTGACTTGGCTTAAGAAATAAAATTACTTTCAGGTTATGGACATCTTTAGATGCTTCTTGGTTTTCTGAGAGAATTGATCATCAATGGAGACTTAGGTATTTCTTCAAGCAGACTCAAAGCAGGACTTCCCACTCACTCAGCTTAAACCAATGAATAAAAACACAATTTCATTATTTCATTTTGACATAATCTGCTTGAAATGCATGGACTGAACTTGCACATCTACATTTGCCAGTTGTAATATGGGTAGCCATTGATGGTCCTCAGCGTTATGGTACAAAAATGAAGATCCTACAAGTGTGAGGTCTCTGTTCCCATTTTCCTAGTCTCTTTCCTCAATAGAAACCACTTTATCATGAGGTTTATCATCCATATATTTGAACTCAATCTCCATTTCAGAAAAGGGTGTATATTGTATCATTCATAGCACAGATCGCCTTTTAGTCTGTAGCCAAATAGAGCACAAGATACAGACAATGGGTTAGACTCAGACTAAGGGTACACTACAGTTCAAAATGGATGCATTTTGACACCACTTGAACTACCATGGCTCAATGCTATGGAATCATGGGAGTTGTAGTTTTACAAGGGTTTTAGCCTTCTCTGCCAAAGAGTGCCACGCTAAACCACAAATCCCATGACTCCATAGCCTTGAGCCATGGCAGTTCAAGTGGTATCAAAACTGTATTCATTCTACAGTGTAGATGTATCCAAAGATAGCAATAATGTCATAGTTGTTGCAGAAAACATTGCAGAAGATTGTTGTCAAACCCTTGAGGGACAAAGGAGAGCAGCCAGGGAGCAAAGTAACAGGATTTATATAATCATAGGTGATTTGGTAGGTATGATAATGAATTTCCAACTTTAAATACATGTACCCTGGAGCAGAAATAGAGAATTGTTTGCATTAAAGGATCGGGCTTTAGCACAGCTGGTAAATCACCAGCAATGATAAGATCTACCAACCGAAAGCTTGTCAGTTCAAAGCCCCGGGTTGGCATGTGCACTTGATTGTCAGTCCAGCTCACTCTTTACCTAAGCAGTTCGAAAACAGCTTGAGCTGTAAGTAGCGAAATTAGGTACCACTAAACAAGCAGGGGAGGTATTTTACAACACCATAAAGAAAAAGATCAGGGAATGCCCAGTGACCAAAAGGAAGGAGAAAGTCCTGGAAGCCATTCGTTATAGAGGATGGAGCGACAACACCCCCCTGTGGCTGGATTTGAGCACAACCTCCATGGCACCAAAAAGCTGGATGCCAACACAACATACCTCCTTTCTGTTCTCTGTCCCACCTGTCCAAAAAACAGCATTGAAATGTTTGCTGTGCATGTGCACTGTGATCTGCCCTGAGCCCCCTTGGAGAGATAGGGTGGAATATTATTATTATTATTATTATTATTAACATTATTATTAACAACCCCCTCCCCGCCTCCAATCTGGAATGAACAACATAAATAACAAAATAAACCAGAGGCTTAAATTCATTTCTATTTATTTTTTTTCTCCTTGTACAATATTAAAGAAATATTTTTTAAGAAAGAAAACCAGAACCAAACTCTGGATACAACTGTTTGATCTGATTAAGTTTGAAGCATACACTATGTATGCAAATAATTCTACATTGAAAACAAATGCTCACACAAGATGGCATATAGCATAACAAACTGATGTAAATAAAAAAGTATTAAAATATTAGCACATAACATGGATGTAGTGTACTAGGAAAACCGAAACATTTGTTTCATCACCCATTTCCCGAACTAAAAACAGAGACTGAATCCCTCCAGTTCTTAAAAAGCACAGCATTTGTTTATACACAACCCATATTTTCTTATTGTTACGTTCTAAAACAGTGGTTTTCAGACTTCAACCCTCTGGGAACCAGTTTGTCATTGTCTTGTTGGGCTGGAATTTGCCTGCAAAACTCTCATGGAACTCAAGTGTTGCAGAAAATTTGAAGGGACAATAGAACTACCCTTCTTTTTACCCATTCACCAACCAGAGAGGTAGATTAGGCTGGAGGAAAACAACAAGTCTAAGGTCAGCCAAGGAGCTTCATAGCTGAGCAGAAATTTGAACCTGGGCCTTTCCTATCCTCATAAACATCTTGGTCTCACTCTAGTCATTGAGATCCATTGCATAACCTCCAACTGTCCTGATCTGGGAGGGACAAACCCAGTTCTCTTGTCATCCTGCTTTCAAAATGTTCCAGAATCTTTCTCCTCCTCTTCCTCCTTTTCCCCTTTGTTTCAAATTTGCTTTGACATTTGCAAAACTAGTTTGCACTCAGTTAACTCAACAATGGGGAGAAAAGATGAAGGATAAAATCATTTTGCCCTTCCCAGTAAGCTTAGGCAAAAGCAAATTGCTACAGCCTTGCCTAATCATTTTTGCCATTTTGACTATGCTTTGACATATTGGAGGGTATGCAAATGAAACTAATGGAACATGGTAAGTCAATACTTAGGTGAGTTTTATTGCTTTGGTGGATATGTTAATTGATATTCAGGATTGAGGCCCATAGTATATGTCATGCTGGCTTTGACTGAATAGTGGCTAGCAAGCTCTCTTTCAGGAAAGCCTAGCTACTCGTTGCTTATATTCTCATTGATGGACGTTCAGTTTTCTTCCACATTGCCACATGGTTCCCCAGAACTCAGACTGAAAACCGTCACTCTAGCAGTGCTCTTGGATCAACAAGTGGCAAACAACAACCCACAACTTTCATATAACTTTCCATGTTGTCACTTTGCATCCCAGTCCACAACACCTCTCTCCCACTAGCATATTTTTCATTGTCAGTATAAGTAGTTTAGTGTAAGAAATAAAATCAGTTTTACAAACCAAGGTTTTAACAAGAGAGAAACAATATCATTAGATTCAATAAGGAAATAACTTCTTGTTTGTTGCATTGCAGGTCCATTTAAAAAAATTAAGTACTTGAAAAAAGGAGTTCATCAGTTATGACTTTCTGTTTCCACTATTTCTCTGAGCGTTACAATAAAAAGTCCTCATCTTCCCAGTCTTCCCAATCATTTGACTCATTATGTTTTGGAGAAAGGGAGAAAGACACCAGATATCCTGGCAGGTTACATAATAGCAGCGAAGCTTAGTTGGCACCTTTTTGCCCTAGCATTTGACATACTAACTTTTCAATCACAGTCACAGGAAAATTGGGGGATTCTAGAAGGGAACTCTTCTAGACTTTATCATAGTATAGGGGCCATAATGTATTATTGTATCATTGTGATTCCCCTTTGACAGCTGTGACTTCCCTCTATGGAATCCTGAGATTTGCAATTTAAGGGAGACTATTTACAATTCTCAGCAAGAGAATTGTGCCTTGCTGAACTACAAACCCCAGGTTTCTATACGATGTTGCTATGGCTATTGAAGTAGAGTCATGGCACTATAGCTGTGTAATGCAAAAGATCCCTGGCACCAAACTCTTCAGTGGAAATTCTCCTTGTTTATACTGCATCTCTATTCCAAAGGAAGCCTGACAAAGATTAACAGGACTTATTTCCAGATAAATGTGCTTAGGTTTGCAGAACCTGATGAAGAATGCCTTTTGAATCAAAATGTACCAGTGTTCACTTTAGGATGATTTGAACATGGCTCTTTTTAGAAGTTTCCTTCTCTCCATTATTGTGAAAAATAGAGGGAGGAGAAAGAGCAGAAGTGAGAGCAAAATGTGCTATCAGTGCTTGAGCTCATGTTTTTTGTGTTTGCTCGAAGCCTCAGCCTCCTACAAGCAATTCTGATGCTTGTAGTACCACTTCCCGGAAAAGAATGAAAGAACGGTGCTTCCATAATTTACATCGCTTGATAATAATTACAGGATATATATGTGCACATGAAGAATCCTGTTTCCTCCTCCTATACACATTAAAATTTGGAATTGTCCCTTTCAATCTTTCAGGGCATGGGAAAAGTATGTTTAAGTCTCTAGTTCCCAGAATCCACAATTAACATAGCCAGGGGATACTAGGAGATACAATACGAAAGATAACTTTTACAAGCTATAATTCAAATGTAAACGGTATCTAAGAAATCTATATCAGTCACCTTTCATTCACCCTTTTTGCTGGTTTAATTAAGTTATAAGGCCAACTTGCTCTTTGGTAACTGCAAACATCACTGTTGTTGTTAATTGCTGCAAAGTCGAATTTGAATTATGGTGACTGTACAAATGAGAGATGGCTAAGTCACAATAGCTAAGGTGCTGCAAGCTCAGAGTTGTGGCTTCCTTGATAAAGTCTGTCCATTTTCTACCTCTTTCTACCTCACTAAGCATCATTTCAAATGAATCACATCTTCTTGTGACACGTTCAATCATTTCAGCTTGGCTTCTAGGGATTTCCTTCGACTCAATTTCCTTTTGGACCCATTAACATGTTGTTTGGCAGTCCATAGTATCTGTAAATCTCTCCTCCAGCACCACATCACTAACTGGCTCACAAATTCTGAAGTCAAAAAAGGTTGCTCCACAACCAAACAATCTTTGGAAGAAGAGAACCATAGCCTTGTTTCTGCACCTTCGAAGTGAACAACAAATTCCTGGACCTAATGTGAAATAATGCTTATCACCACAATTTTTCATGATGTATCCAATATCCACAAATAATGGAAACGGCAACAACTTTGTTCAAAAACATTTTTCTCCTGATAATTAAAGTATATGTTAAGTGAATGGAAGGGGGGGGGGGCTTCTAAAGCAGAAGGGAGAGAAAAATGCCCATGGACTGAAAATATTTTGTGAAGATGTAATAACTAAACTACAAGTACCTACTTCTCCACAGACCCCCCCCCCCCACCTTAAGAATATATATAAAAAAACAACAGATTTTTCTGAGTCAAATATTGAACTTCATTGCTTTTGATCTTTCATTGCTCGTGTTTAAAAAAAATAAAAGAAAATAGAAAATAAAAATAAACACGGTGCTGTTAGAACAGCTACCTTCAAGCAACAATTTCCGCAAAAGTATTCACAGGTACTTCATAGATCTGTGGTTGTTCTCTGAAAAAGCAGTTCTTTCTGACACTTAAAGCTTGGAAAAGTCATTGTATGGGATATAGTTCCAAGAATATGGCATCATGGGAGTTGTAGTCCAAAAAGTAACTTTTCAGAGCTTTGCTAAAACTCCAGCCTCACTAACCCTAATCCCCCTAAAGCCATTCTCTTTCCAAGATCCCTTTCTTGCCACTTCAAATGTCCATTTCATTTCACTTGCATTTTCCTCAACTAGTCAGAAAACAAGGGGGAGAATCACCCATCCACCTCACTGTTCATAATTCCAGAAAATAAATCATAATTTACTATTAAGCCCAAAGCACAGGAATGTGCTAGGCTTCTTGCTTGCCCTGCATCTCATGTATTACGAGGCTAGTATTAATTATAATGCCTTCCATAAAAAGCTGATTTTCTTTAAATATAAAAAGCTTAAAAATCATAGATTATAAATAATAATAACAACAACAATAATAATAATATCAATTAAAAATACTAAAGGATCTCAGGACGTCATTTGCATTTCAGGGGAAGTGGGGATTTGAAGTCCTTGATGCATTCTCAGTCCCAAATATCAGCTATTTTAAAACCCTTCATATGCATATGATAGGTATTGATAGGCGTACAACAAATATAAAGCCTTGGTTCCCAGTGAAGAAATACCCCATTGGCTAAGAATCTCAGCATCTTTCCCATTCTGACAAAAAGAAGCCGGATTATCACTTCTCTGATAAGGTGACACTTCTATTCCGAGATTGTAAAGTTTCATCAACAAAATACATAATTACTTTTTTAAAAAACAACATAGCAAGAATGTACACAAAATTTGCTGCATTCAGTAATATCAAATGGTGACATATTTTTGTCCTGCATCATGAAATTGCGTGTCACTGTCAGTTTCTATTTGACACAAGCTAAAATTATATTGTTTACATGTGCCAATGTAAAACTGTAGTGTATTTTTACATGCAAAGTATACTTCAGTGTCAACAAAATATCCATGATGTGTTTGTACATGTAGATATGTATGTGTTTATTGGCCAACAATGTGCACCAATTTAGTTACTTTTATAATATCGTAGTGTAAAAAAACAGTTAAGGCAAACATTTCACTTTCAGTTTGAAAGTGTTACATAGAAACTACTCATTAACTGGCAGAAAAAATGGAAATAGCAGTGCATCTGCAAGTTTGTTTTTTTTTAAAAAAAGAGGATCTTAAGGCACTTGGCCAGTCTGTATTTTTTAAAAAGTGCTGCAAAATCCATACAGCATTAGTTAATGCAAAAAAAAAAAAAAAGAATAAAAAGGTTTTTTTAAAGCTCAGGTTATATAGATAACAAACATTTGGTACAATAGTTTAGTTCAACTGTAAAACTGCAGTCAACTTGTTTGTGCTCACCCTCTTTGGAACCAAATAGCCTTCTGCATTATAAAGCTTTTTGCAGTCAGCTCTATTTTGGTTAGTTAAACTTGATGTAACCAGCGAGGGCTAAGTTCAGACATGGTGCAAAAAATATAGGAGCTCTCATGTCCTCAAAACATTGCTATGTAAGTAAAGAGGAACACCTATAAATGGATAGAAGTCATCCTAACTCTTAAAAATAGATATCTATATATATTTATATATGTATCTTTGCATATATTTCATACTTAAGTTCTTGCCGGTGAAATCTAGACCAAGATTCACAGACGTAAAAATGGTTGTGATAAAAGTCAGTAAGGCATAGGTTGCCTAGCTGAGGAACTTGAGGATGCTTTGCCTTCACTTCTAGAGGTCAAGGAAACTCTGCATCATCAGTTACAGCCAGGTGAGAAAGGGCTCGTTTTTGTTGAGGACCGATTCCACATCGGTGAGGATGGGGATCAGGTCGTCTGACTCCAAAGTCCCAAGGTCAACATTTGTTCCTGGAAGACAATCAAGGAAGTCGGGAAAACGGGACTGCTGTGGGTTGATGTTCATGGAAGTCTGCGCTACATTATCTCCTGCAAAAGAAGAGAGAAGGTTAAAAATAACTCATGAGGCCCTGGATTCACAGCCACGAGGCTGCCCTTGCCTATAATGAAACATCTCCATTACCAACAATCAGACTACAGCATTTCCCAGCCCCATTTCCCAATATTGCATGGTGCTGGGTGAACATATTCATACACAAACAGCTGCAAAAACAGAGCATGTGTGTCCCATGTGCAAACTGGATGTGGATATTGAAACCATCTGGCACAGTCAGTTTTCTGGGTCTTTTCAATGTTAGACAGTGTTGATCAAATGAGAAAGCTTTACACTGACTGGTTCTGCCTAAGTGTTTGTGGGTATCCTTTTACCATATGTGTATGTTATTTGTGCATGTATATATGTTTGTAAGATCCCCTGATGGCATAGTGGGTTAAACTGCTGAACTTGTTGACTGAAAGGTTAGTGGTTCGAATCCAAAGAGCGGGGTGAGCTCCCGCTGTTAGGCCCAACTTCTGCTAACCTAGAAGTTTGAAAACATGCAAATGAGAGTGGATCAATAGGTACTGCCTTGGCGGGAAGGTAACAGCACTCCATGCAGTCATGCCAGCCACATAACCTTGGAGGTGTCTATGGACAACACTGGCTCTTCAGCTTAGAAATGGAGATGAGCACCACTCCCCAGTCGGACACAACTAGACTTAATGTCAGGGGAAACTTTTACCTTTACCTATAAATGTTTGTATGTGAAAGAGGGAGGGAAATAGATAGAAATTCAGCATGGAGAAGAAAGAATAGATTGTAATAAACAAAGAAATAAATGGACACGAAACTAAAATCTCAACATACCCATGGAAGATTCTGCTAGGATACTTCCACACACCCCTAACATATGCAGTGTTGATGAACTTTTGTTTTTGTTTAGAGGAGCCTTCAGACTCATGGGACAGCTATCCATAGAAACCTCATACAGTCCAATGTACCAACTGAGAACAAAGTTTTACTATTACAAAGCAACAATTTGACCATGGTTGCAGGCAGGAGTTGGTATGTCCTTGTGGTTTAGAGTCCAATGTTCTGCCCTCATAATCTACCAGTCTGCAGTGACTTGGGGTTTAAAGTAATGACCTATTTGAAATACATCTAAGCACATGTAAAAAGGCCACCCTGTGTGTCGATTTGTTGATGTGCATGTATTTTGTCTTTGGCTGTCTTCGATGATCAGCTTTGTTTATGAATATGTAGAGCTACTTTTTTAATGTAAGGAGAGGTGGGAGCCTTCTGGTTGGGTGGGGGCTTCATCAATGAATGGGACTCAGGTTCTTATAATAAATCATCATTTAAAGGTACCTTTAGTCCATTACAAAGAAAAATCCCAAAACTCTGCTGTGGGGATCAGATTCATAGTACTTCATCACACTAGAGAATGAATCCACTTTAAATCAGGTCTCTGTCTCCTGCAGAATTCTGGGGTTTGTAGTTTAGGGAGGAGCCTTTAACAGCCTCAGTAAAACTACAAACCCCAGAATTCTGCAGGAGACAGAGACATGATTTAAAGTGGATTCATTCTCTAGTGTGATGAGGTCCATAGAGAAGCCAAATAACTCTCCTTAGCCTTGAAACAATATTAACTGCCAGAAATAGGCAAGGGGCATAGATGAAAAGCAACCCCCCTCCCCACCCAAAAAACCCAACCCAATTCCAACCATGTTCTTACTGAAGAAGGACATTGATAAATTATATCCGGATGACTACATTTTAAAAAAAACCCCATCACACAGTTGATTTCTAGAGGAATTTAACACCATATCCAGAAGGGCTACCCCGACAGTGCAATTGGGCACCTTCAGTGAAAAATATGCTCCAATGGTAGATTCTCAAATCTGTTTCAGAAGTTCACACTGAGCATGGAATCTGGTTCTCCTTTATACTGACCAACTGGAGAAGATACCATCTCCAATCATATTCAAGGTATCTATTTGTCACTAATGGGTTAGCAATGCTAACCCTGGCCTAACAAGAGGTTTAATGGAAGGACACAAAGAAACGCTAAAAGTATAGGGGAGAGAGTAGAGATACCATATTGCCTTTATATTTTACAATGTACCTTTTGTGATAATATACAGAAGGGCATAAAAGGCAATGGACTGGCTAAAATGGAGGAAAGATGGCAACTGTTACATTCATCAAACTCCCTGCTCTTCCACTAACTTGTTTGGATCTCATGTTCATGGTCTCTGATATTTAATTGGCATTGGCAACAGGATATGTGTTTTAGGCAAGCATAGAAATAACATTAGTTGTCAAGAAGATAACTTACAGTTTTGTATATAAAATGTGCTTCTCATTCATACCTGTATCCATCTCATCTACATTGCTGAGGAGGTCTTCAGGTGTAGTTGGTATGCTGTAACATCCTAAGCCTAGGCCACTGTCTGTGCTCTGCTCCCTGGAATGGTATGGCCCACTATGAATTGAGACACGAAGAATCCTCAGTCATGGTTGTACTCAACAGACATAGGACCCCAGAATGGTTTTTAGGAGAAAGATAGGAGACCAAGCTTCAAGGTCTTGCCCTAAATAATCTGCATGTACTCTGCCTCTTCAAGCCTCTCTGTGCCAGGACTTATTTCACAATCTTTCCCCTGATTCTACAGTACCATATATCAGTGATATTCTTGCTCACCTCTCAAAAGAAAGTGAATTTGGCTACTGGTGAATTTGCAACTCTTGGGGATAAAAAGTTTAAATGGGCCTGGAAAGCACAGACTCCTAGGAACATGTGAATTTGGATATTTTAGCAAAATCTGTTTCCTCTCAGCAAGGGATAAGGGGCTTTGGTTTTGTTTTGATTTTGTGCAAGATACAACTGCAATTTTGATGGAGACATACTGACAATGACATCCATACTGTTACATCACACTTCAATTGTTGCCATTTGCTCCCAAAGAAGTACTGTGACAATTCAAATTTTCCAGGGGTGATAAAGTGGCACTTGCATTAGGACAACCCAAAATGCATAATGTGAGCATGTGTTGTTCTAATTATGCCAAAATCTTCCTCAGCATGATCGTCAACTGAGTGACCTACACTCACATCAGCCTGGCCCTAAATCACAAAAGCCCTCAAGCCAGTTGTCCAGACTCATCTAAAATGCAAATTATATGATAAGATCTGGTTGGGCTGAGGCCATATGTCTGTCTCTTAAATCTTACAGGCAAAGTTACTACAGCCAGACCTAATCCTTTCTGGGAATTAGGGGTGCAGGATCCCTGCAAAAGTGCCAAACCCACAAATATAAATAAAAATCATGGATACTATTTTTTTTAATCTGAGGGAATACTTTTCTAGACCTTTCTAGATCCTCCAGTGCAATTATATGACTAACCGGAGGGCCTAGAACTTCCTAGAGATAACATATTTCATAGTGAGTAGAAGCAGAGGCAATGGCAAATACAGTAAAGCTGATAAAACAAAGCCGCATATGCTTAGCCCACAAATACGAAAGGACAACTGTATTCTCGTCTGTCCAGCATAGTCTAAAAACTACATGTCTTTAATTAGAAATCACACAAAGAATGGGGCTTATGTGGTTCTCTAGAGCAGTGATTCTTAGGGTTGTTGTAGGTTTTCCGCACTGAATGGCCATGTTCTAGAAGCATTCTCTCCTGACGTTTAACCTGCATCTATGGCAGGCATCCATACTGGTTCTTAACCTGTGGATCCCCTGAGGTTTTGGCCTTCAACTCCCAGAAATTCTAACAGCTGATAAACTGGCTGGGATTTCTGGCAGTTGTAGGCCAAAATGCCTGGGGACCCACAAGTTGAGAACCACTGCTCTAGAGGTTAGAAGACTGCAACATCCAGCACCTCTAACAAACACCAGCAATAGTGAGGAACACAAGGAATTGAAGTTAAACAACATCTGAAGGGCCATATAATCCTCACCTCTGCTCTAAACACAGGGCAGGCAATCCGGTGCCTTCAAGATGGTCTGGGCTGCAGTAATAATAAGAACCAGCAATATAACTGGAAAGAATTACAGAATTTGTATTCCGAAGACACATGATTGCCTACCCCAGCCCCTAACAAATTATGAGAATTTCAAAAGTGACCTATACTACAGAATATAAAATTGCTGCTCAGCAATGATGTACTTGCCTGTTCAGGAAGGGATCCAACCCGTTATTTGTAACAGATCTCATGTCTTGTGTCATGTTAGGTGTGCTTACAGCTGTCTGAACTGGGGCCAGGTTCTCAGACTCCATGGGAAGTTGTCTGTATAAATCAGCTTCCTAAAGTAAAAAGATGAACACAAACTGTCAGCGCTGGGCCATGAGCAGCCAAGAATACAGGGATGTCTACAGGCATGAGTCTGACCTAGGCCCTGGTTCTCACTCCTGTTTTCAGAAGGAAGAAGATGACTGCCCTGTTTGCCTTTTTGAAGGGAAAGGAACCTTTCTATGTATACCTTTAGATCTATAGTGAGCATTTTCTGGCTCTCCAGGTGTTATTGGGCTGCAATTCCTAACATCACCATTGGTTACAGCTGATGGGAACTGCAGTCCAAGGAAGGTTTGAGGGCCACATTGGCCACCTGTGAGATAGGGACACATGCACAGAGAGAAATAGACTGACAATAGACAGACAGTAGGCACGGGCAATCCATGGTTCTAAATCAGTGGTTCTCAACCTGGGGTCCCCAGATGTTTTTGGCCTACAGCTCCCAGAAATCCCAGCCAGTTTACCAGCTGTTACGATTTCTGGGAGTTGAAGGCCAAAAACATCTGGGAACCCCAGGTTCTAAAGTACTTACAAAACTAGGGGGCGCTGGTGCTTTGCTTCTACAGTGTTGCTAAAGTTCTGGTGGTGAAATTTTCAGAACTCTGACAAAACTTTCAAAATTTCATTATAAATAGCAGTTCTTAATTGGTTCTGTCACAAAAATCTCCAATAACAAAATAATAAGGAAATTTAGAAAGTTTTGTTTGCGTTCTGAAATGTTCACCCCCAGAACTTTAGCAACACTGTAGAAGCAAAGCACCAGCGCCCCCTAGTTTTGTAAGTACATTAGAACCATTTAGAACCATGGATTGCCCATGCCTAATAGACAGATATGATGTGTAGACATATGCAGTAAAATCCAGGTTTCAGCTTCCTGTGTCTAGATCCCTTTCTCCAATCTGCCATGCTGCATATGTATTAGACTACAATTTCCACTGGCTGTATGAATGAGATGTGTTAGCTGTGGATGATGAGAGTTCTGGTCCACTCCATTGGTAGAGTAGGGCAGAAGCCACAGGGAGTTAACCACTTGAGTGGGAGAGTTCTCTGATGTCAAGTGTGTGAGCCTGTTAATGCATGCAGATGCGCAGAGACAAAACACCAACAGTGCCTTGCTTCCCATCCAACACATCTTGCTGAAACATGTTTTCACTGCAATTGTTCCACAGTGAATACAATCACATTCTTTGGAAAATTAAAGCCTTTACCACTTGACATCCTTTTTTTAAAAAAAGAAAGGAAAACATTTCAGCACACAACATAACACTATTTTGGAAACCAGTGTGAGACAGACAATGAATTCAATATGTTAAACGCATAATAAGAAAAGCTTAATGGACAAACAATGAGAGCACACATTGTGCATGTGTATGATGCTTAAGGATCAGAATGCACTGCAAATATTTATATTTATTTATTTATTTACGGTATTTGTATACCGCCTTTTTCAACCTATCGGCGACTCAAGTGTTTCTGTGTTAGTCCATGAAATCGCGGAGGGGCAATGTTTCCAATGAAACAAGACTGGACTCTGCAAAGAAATATTGACTACATCTAGCAAGAAGCCTGTTTCAGACACAGCTCAGAAGGATGGAGACCCAGGTTGCTCCTCACACATATATCACACACAAGCAACCTGGGACTGTCCCTGCCAAATTATAACAGTTGGAAAATATGCTACCCTTGAAGTATGAAGGCATCTTTGGAGGCAGTTTAATGACAGGCTGCTGTGAGTTTTCCGGCCTGTATGGCCATGTTCCAGAAGCATTCTCTCCTGACATTTCACCCACATCTATGGCAGGCATCCTCAGAGGTTCAAGGGTAGCATATTTTCCAACTGTTACAATTTGGCAGGGACAGTCCCAATTATAGTGCACTGTTTTTCCAGCTTTTAAAATGTCCTGGTTTCTTTCTCCTTCTCCCAATTTACTCCTTTAACCTCAGCTTATTTCAATGGCTACAAACTGAATTCAAATGCCAACATTAATCTGTGTTCAATTAACTCAGCAGAGGGGAGAAGAGAGAAAAATGAACAGAATCCTTCCTTTCTCTCTACTCTCCCAAAAATAACTGGATGCAGCCCCTCTTGAATTTGTTAACTTTTCAATGAATGTTTTAATTTACTGTTTAGTTAATGTTTTAATTGTGATTTTATTGCTATTGTTTGTGTGGCATCTAATGATTGCTGGTTGTAAGCTGTCCTGCATCCCCCTTGGGGGGTGAGAAGGACGAGATAGAAATGTTCCAAATAAAATAAATAAATCTCCTAATTTGTGTGTTCTTCCTCTTTAATAACTTTTGCTATTTTGATCACACTTTGATGTTGCCTGTCCACATGCACCCGTTTTTATCTATAAATTGTTGGAAGGCATGGGGTGGGGGCTAGAAAGAATATCCAGCACTATTCCTGTCCCAACCCAAAAGAGTGCTTTCCAATACTCAGGAAACTAAGTCAGGAAGAATAACACAGCAGTGATAGTTTTGCAGCTTTCATACATCCTGAGTGTTTGTGGGAATTATTACGACACAGGAACACATATGGGTTTTCATGCCAAAATTACTTCTTCCAGGTATCCACATGGGTTTATATCAAAAGTTAATGGTTTCAATTTAAACACTGGAGGGGAGGGGGGTCCTCATGTGAATTCACAGAAAGTTATGGGTTTTTGTAGAAAACAGTTTCCACATTCAGCGTTCCCTCACTTATCATGGGTGTGGCGTTCCAGGACCACTTGCGAAAAGTGAAAATCCGTGAAGTATGTATAGCGAGTTCCGAGGGTGAGGCAGAAGCGAAGAGAGATTTAAAGGCACTGAACACCTTTTTTTTTTTTTGCTAGCTATCTCTGCTTTGCTTTCCAATCTCTCTTGATTGGCTGCGTCTCTTTTGAGGGGGAGGGTGAAACCGCCTTCCACACTCCATCGTTGCCAGGAGGAGGGATTAGAACACTGCTCTGGGCAATGGCAACCATTCATAAACTGAGAAGCAAAAACCCGCAAAACAGCGAGTCCGCGAAAAGCGAACTGCGAAGTAGTGAGGGAACACTGTACTCATTTTTTTGTGTAAGATTGTAGGGCCCCCTGGTGGTGCAGAGGGTTAAACCGCTGAGCTGCTGAACTTGCTGACCAAAAGGCCAGTGGTTTGAATCCAGGGGAGTAGGGTGAGTTCCCACTGCCAGCTTCTGCCAACTAGCAGTTTGAAAACATGCAAATGTGAGCAGATCAATAGTACCACTTCTGCGGGAAGGTAACAGCACTCCATGCAGTCATGCTGGCCACATGACCTTGGAGGTGCCTACAGACAACACTGGCTCTTCAGCTTAGAAATGGAGATGAGCACCACCCCACAGAGTTGGGCATGATTAGATTTGATGTCTGGGGAAACCTTTATCTTTGCTAAGATTACAGGTTTTGGACAAGAAACCAGAAATCTTTCCCCTCTCCCCTACAAAATATATGTCTTATGGAATGTGTGTTTTTATGCAAAATAACTAACTCAATATTAATTCAAGAAAGTAGGAAAACAACATAAACTCTTTTATAAGCAAGTGCAAAGAATGGCAGGAAAGTTCAGCTTTTTGAAGCTTCATAGTGACATCTAGTGGAGCAAAAGAATGGTGCGAGTCGGTATAATTTTCTCAGGGAAAGCACAGAAGGGATTTTGACTCATAAATAGTTCATGGTATTATGGTCATCACTTACATAGCTGGTTGAATACTGAACAAGCTACAGGCCACAGTAAAATGTTCATAGCATAATATTTTGAAACTATTCTGTTCATTTTGGATCACAATCCCATAGGAATTTCTCTTGTTCAAGTATTGCTGCAATTTGCATGCATGGCATAAAAGTTCATTATAATCTTGGGCATTTTTTCAATGAACAAATAAAGCACTGTCTCTAAATTGCTGATAGGTCATACCACTGTATATTCACAGTAAACAGATTTGGTCACTTAGAGATAACAAATCCATCTGTTTTGGGGAGTGTTCCACTTTGTGGAGGACGGCGCTCTATTTGATAGCGTCCAATAAGTAAACTGCTGTCTAGTCCAGACACATCCAGTTTGAATCTGAAAACTATAGGAATAGAAACCAAAGCCCTCAAAATCCTCATCAAAACTAGCATTAGAATAGACACAAAGTTCAATTGGTCATGTTCTCCTCTACCATGATGTGGTGAATTCTATCTACATTATTTATATTTATTTATTTATTATACTCTTTATGCACATCCACATTATCTGATTATATCTTTCTTGTTGATTCTCTTCTTTTATGTTCGTTATGCTGGCCATTCAATTTTGAAATCTCAAACAAATGTTTACACTGATGCCCATATCATAAGTTCTTGGACCTGGATAGCAAACATTGTTATTTTCAATGGGGTGAAGACAAAATACTGAAAAGAGGGTGTAGCTTGCACAAAAGGTCCTATGCGAATGAATGAATGAATGAATGAATAAGTGAAACAGTGGATAAGTGAAACTGCATTTATCAGTTATGTGGATTTGTGGGTTTTATGTATTTACAAAAAGCAAATGTTTACATAATCTGTGTGATGTTGTGTGAATAGTACAAACTGCAAAGCAGTTCTTAACAGATATTTACTAAGGTCAAAAGACTATAATATTTGGAGTAAAGAACCAAGTTTCCATAATCATTTTAATGAAGGATCTAATATCATTTTACAAAAGTGACTGAAGAACCAGGCTGATGAAGGTGAAGATCCTATATATTTTTGTGCGTACATGAGTCGTGTCATGTGTTGTTGACCCCACAGTTGTGCAATCAAGTGAACAACAGGCTCCACAGCCTTGTGTTCACCTGTTATACAACAGCTGATTGGTCTTCCTCCCACCTAGTCAAATTGAGGGGCAGAAATGTGCATGTGTCTGTGGAACAACTTGCCATACTGGTCCCACAGTTACACAACTACTGATAAAGAACTACCACGTGTTCAATTATTTCTATGGTAGACTAGTGTCTTGGTGGTATCCTAGTCTTTAGGTATA